CCAAAGTCAGAATTTTCAATACAAATGTCAAGACAGTTCTACTGTATGGGGCGGAAACCTGGAAAACTCCGAAATCCATCGTCCAAAAGATACAGGTGTTTATTAACAGTTGTCTACGCAAAATACTTCAGATCCGCTGACCGGACACTATTAGCAACAACCTACTGTGGGAGAGAACAAACCAGATCCCAGTGGAAGAAGAAATCAGGAAGAAGCGCTGGAAGTGGATAGGATACACATTGAGGAAAGCACCGAACTGCGTTAGCATAAGACAAGCCCTCATATGGAATCCCCAAGGTCGAAGGAGAAGAGGAAGACCCAAGAATACATTACGCCAGGAAATGGAGATAGATATGAGAAAAATGAACAAGAATTGGATGGAACTAGAAAAGAAGGCCCAGGACAGAGTGGGTTGGAGAATGCTGGTCGGCGGCTTATGCTCCATTGGGAGTAACAGGCGTAAGTAAGTAAGTAAGTAAGTAACTGTATTAGATATCCTCTTCACTGCTTTAGTCAGTCTATTCCGTAGCACATCACTAACTATATGTCCATTGACTTGTAGCCTCAGAAAGGGATATTTCTCACCAACCGATGACATCACTATCTTCCTGTTCACTGCATCCATATATTCTTCAGAACACTGCGGTTAACTCATATCAGTCAGTATATTATGAGTAAAGTGTAGTTACTTATTTATAGTGTTTCTCCAGCACGTTTTGATAGTCCTACTTACAAGGACTCTTACTAGTATTTTTTGTAGTAAATGAATTTGAAGTCAAAGAAATGTTTATTTTTATTTCAGCAAACCTATTTTATACATTCTTTTACTGATCAAACCATCATCTTTTCTGCTCACACGTGAATCTCCTTTCTAGGTGTATACTGTTGTATTGTCCTAGCAGTAATCTGAGTAACGCTTATAAAAAATAAAAATAATACATTAAGATAGTGAGAAAGTGATGGTCAGTAACTTTAATAATCAAGAAATATAATTATTCTGAATATCCGTCTCCTTTTAGAATTGTCAATTCCTATATAGATTATTCGTATTCTGCCTTTCAAAGTTCGTACGAAATTACAATCACACTTAGTGCTAATTAATTATGCAATCACATACCTCCGTAAAACTGTTTTTTTCTACAGTGGGTGCAGTGATTATTTAAAATGTGATTTCTTCAACCAAATTAATTTTATTTTTGCGAAAACGTTGGCTGTAGAACATTTCGGAACTATTTCTCAAATTTTAAACTTTATATGTCATGCAGTCCACAGTGGTGAAAATGATCAAACAAAGATTCAATAAGATGATTAGTGCTTTCTTATTTCCAACGGTTCTTCAGGTCATATTAGGTCACAAAATCATATTGAATAATTTACTGTTTCGGAATATCGTTTTATGGAAACGTAGCATTTTTTTATTATTAAATAGAAGTTTTTCAAATAGATCATCTCTCAAATTATTAACAACTGGTTTCATTTTTTAGATAAATAGAAAACTAATATTTTGTTATATGACGAATACGACTACTTCTGTGAACATTAAATCTTATGAATGGTTGATTTTTGGTTTTACAGTTTTAGAGCTGTAACTTATTATAGCTAAAGGATTTCAACGAGACTATAGTTTGTGGACGAACCAATAAAACATAAGATAACTGTAACGGAGTTAGAATTACAATGGTGATGTTGCTAACCCGTTCTGTTTTCTTTCTATTTCAGGGCGACCAAACATAAACGCTCTGGAATCTGAAGAACAAGCCCTGAGTGCTCTGAACTTACAGGATGACTCATAAGACTTTGGTACACTAGCCACCCTTCTCCTGTAACAACCCAGCGTAATTTTAATTTTAGAAAAATAAGAGTGCTGTGGCCGTACTTCTTGTTCTCTCTTGGTGTGAAGTGTAGAGCTAACCCTGTGTGTTGCAATTTTAGATCTGATCCGCTGTTCGGTAACTGTTGATTACATGCGTTACATGTCTCGTATTTTGGCGCGGATTTCATTCGTCAATTTGGTTAAAGAGCGTTTTTGCGATTTTACCAGTCAGTACATGATGTAAAATTTGGATCTATTTCCTAACCCTTACCATCAACTGTAAATCGTAATTCTTATTCTTCACACAAGTTTGCAGCTCTCACTTAGCCTTAATAGTTAGGTGGACATTCTCAAGGTCAATTTGACGTCGCTCAAAGTCGTCCATAGATTATATGATTTGTGGTGAGACTATATATTCTCACCGTTGAAATTTTTGAGACTTTTGTCACAGTAATTGTCTGATATAGCTTCAATATTGGGACCATATACATGAAAATCAGTTGACTTCTAAGATCAGTAGTAATTTACGGTTATTATTCAAGATGTTAGTTACGTATGGTTGGAATAATAAGTAGTGACAACCCAGATGAGCGGTCACTACGAATGGAGCAGGACACTTTACACATAAAGCAACGTTAACTGTCACCGCACAACAACCAAATGTTTGACGCTGTAGAGACAGTGAAACGTCACTAAGACCTAGTCAGATCACTCATCATGCTGAACCACTTTTACGATAGGCAATATATCACTGATCATTGGAAAGTTTATCAAACATCGTGTAATAGTTTAAAGTATTCGAATTATTGTACTAACTAGAAATTCCCAAAATAACGCAGTCTAACTAAACAGAACTAGGTGAGCACTAACGAACGTATTATATTTGGGATTCAAAATCAAGCAGACACCAATTGCAACAGAATCATTGGCTCATACAAACACCACACCTCTCCAAGGATGACTAACGCCCATTAACTAATCGCATGCCATGAATTAGACCATACGGCGCTAGCTTTACTTTGTTTCTCTGTACTATAATTGCTTCACGTTTGTGTTATATGTTTATCGATTGGTTACGATACCCGGATATCACGGCAAGTTAATCCACGTTAGGTATTGACTTTGACGTAGGCTAGGAGGTCATCGTTACCTCCGAACTCGGGTGAACCTTTACTAGTGATATCCACTTCAGTCTCGATATGAATTAATTTAATCGGTTATGATTATTCAATGGAACCTCAAAACCCAATGCCAGGTCACTTATGACCATTTTCCTCTAGTAAACCTGTATACTCCATTGTTTATAGATCCGAACTTGATTACATATACATCTTATATTGATCTGGTTAAGTAACAAGTCCAAATGATATGATATTAAAAGTTTAGTATGAAGTGTTTTTGTATGGTTATATATCAGCAGATCACACCTACAAATTAAGAGGTCTGTAAGAAGAGTGAAAAATTGTGGATCTGCGTAGTGATTAATAATGTTATACATGATCTGACTTGGCAATCAGATGAGCGTGGAGATAATTGACTTAGTCTATCTAGCCACCAACTTCACACAATAAATAAAGACGCTCACGTATATTTTAGTGTATATAAGAGTCAATAACCACTAATATCTAAATACTTAATGGGGTAAAAATGGCACATTTCCTAGTCACGCTTCTTATCTGCACAGATATAGAGGGGTTTTTGTAGGTTTGTGACTTAATAGAGCAACCTATGTCTATCGCTGTTTATTACTTAACTACGAAATTTATGCAGATCATTTGATAGCTTAACTGTTAAAAATACACCTTAAGACGAAGACTGTTTAAGGACCGAAATTGTGTACCATATATGTTCGATTAATGAATGCGAATAACAAGTTGGAAACTTGAAAGTGAAAAGTAACCAAAGTCTGCATGAAGTCACGAACCGGTGATCGAATGATATTCAAATTAAGATGTTCAAATGTAGTAGACTCATATACAATTGAACACCTATGAGAGTTCTTGAAAATTCAAAAGTCCTTGAATTTCGGTTTGTGCTTTTTTTTAGACTACTAAGTCTTTCGTGTCGGTAATTCAGATACGCTGACATGATCATAAAATTCCACCGAATGTAGATGAATATGTCTTTTTAAGTGTTTCTACTTTGAGGAGTCTCCAGCTAGTGTAGTCTAGAAGTGAATATTTTGCCGCAGGTAGAGGTATAAAGTTCGAATCGTCAATGAAAAATTATAATTTGTTGGTTGGCTGATAAGTTTGTCGACATTTTTCCGTCCTTGTAAGTTTTTCATTATGAAATGCGACCAACAGGACGCTGCATTTGGAACATAGTCACAAGAAATTAATTTGAACTTTGTAGCTAGACCACTTAGAGTCTCCCTTTATCTTAAAGAAATCACGTGAAGGCTCGGGGTTTTCTGGGAGAAACTTTTTTAAAAGGAATTGTAGCAACCGGACTTTATATTATTACTCTGAATGAGGAAAACGACCTAATCAAACAATACCGATCAGGCTGGACTTTTCATTTCTTCTACTTGGTGTATAAAGCTGTTTTGTGTCACTAACAATCAATAATTTCGTGGAAAAAAGTTAGTAAGTAATTTATACAGCATATATCATGTTAACAGCTCACAGTGTTAATATGTAACTTTGATCCGAGATGTTGCGCGATCACCGTATTGACAATTATCAAATTCTCGCCAGAAAAAAAATACTATTTTTCCAATGAAAGATCGTGACTAAAGGTATTCGACCATGTCACATGTGAGGTAATGATTTTCGAAGATAACAGGAGACGGTCTCACAATATCAATGACTGATTGAAGCTAGACGTCAAGAGCGCTGGATACCGGCCCAGAAGTCTGCGGAAGGAAGATCCTTGGTGAGATTTACGCGTTTTAGATGGTGGATGCCCTCTGCTGGGAAATCCCATGCTGGGGCGAAAATGTGATTCAGCTCTTTCAGGTTTTCTGTGGTGACTTTACTTAAATTCATCTATGATTTCATTGAAAGTTAATAATCTCCACGTCCTAATTCTGACAATTTCCTTAGGTCACAAAATTGCTACTAAAGGTACCAAATCATTCTCTTAGTACATCGAGAACGCCCAAAGTTCAGCGGGAAATCAATGCCTAGATTCTTTTCTTCGGTGGGAACTGTAATACTGGAGTCAACCCAAAAGTACATAATGGATGGAGTTTATCGGTGTTCTTACTAGTTTAGCTATTTACCTTAGTCAAGACACCTTCTGGACCAAGTATTTCCCTCTAGATCTTAAGCCACTAGAGTAAATGAAAGTTTGACAGTCTAGAGATCTGAAAAGATCGTCTGTCTATAGATGAGCTCTTGACGGATCAAGACAAATATCGTCAAACTTGTACACACAAGTATCCTTTTACAAACTTTAAAAGTAGGTTTCATGTAACATTCAATGCACTGGTAACATTAAAGCTCATTTTCGGTCAGTTTGACGGAAGAACTTTCCACATGATGTTCAACAGTTTCATTCATCGCCATTTAGAGTACGGAGACATGGTATTTCTTCTCTCACCCCCAAAGGACAAGAACACTCTGGAGCGTATTCAACGGCGAGCCACGTATTTAGTTAGGAGACTCAAATTCAAGCCTAATGAAGAGCGCTTCCAACCAATGAACCTTTGCCCATTAGAGTATAGGTGTCTTGGAGGTGGCCTTTTAATGGCTTGCAGTGTCCTTAACTCTTCTGGACATTCCCTTGAACACCTACATACGTTTAGATCCAACACAAACCTAAGGAGTAACACCCAGAAACTGGAGACACAACTCATCAGAAAGTACTGTAGAACAACTTCTACTTCTCAAGAGTTGTCAAATGCTGGAATTCGCTGCCGTCTGAGCTAGTCCATGTGACTTATCATGAGTGCTTTTAAAGGAAACTTGACACATTTCTAAGGACTGAGGATAATATCTTATCAATTTCGTTTTCCTCTATTATCGTTAATATACCTAGGTTCCTGTCTGAAAGTATTGGTGATTTACTTCTACTAGACACGGAAGTCCGCTAAGCGAATGCTTCTTCTATTCCGTCCAAAGTCATTTGAAACATTTTGAATCATATTTCAGATACTCAATTTGTACATTAAGGGCGCCTATTTTAAATGGTGACCTAGTCCTGCTTTATAACTGCAAACAATCCCACTGGTTGAATATCCTTATTAATAAACAGGTGTGTTGGGACATGGGAGATGTAGTTTTTCCTTTCATTTCTTTCGCATAACTAACATTTTTCAGTTGCATTATTTCATATCTAACATCGTTAAACGAATATGTCATTGATACTGTATCTGCTCACCACTGAGGTGAGACTTACATTTAGTAGAGGTAGATTGCTAGCTCCAATGAGATTTATTTTATCGCCGAGTCTTCAGGTGGCTTTATCACTCACCGTTTGGACTTTGGAATTCTAAGGCATTAGACGTATTGATACTATTTGTCTAAATATTCGTGGTTCTACTCCGGTTTTTGATGTAGGATAACTGAGCTACAGTAAAATAATTAATGGGAAGTTCCAGCTTGCAATGGATGTCCCGGATTCTAGTTTATCTTGACAACTGTTAGTCACATGAAATCTAAGTTAACTAGATATATGTTAGTTCTTCAGTTTCAGTTTGGAAAAGACAGAAGGCTTGATGGCCTGTGTTAGTCCTGGCAATTGTGTTCTCTCAGTTGATCCAACTTTCTCCTGAAAGAGTCTACGGATGGAGCTTCAACCACGTGTTGAGATAATGAATTCCACTCGATGATTCGGTGGGAAAGTCGATAATAAGCTGACAAGTAATTTGTTCTGGGCTTGTGAACTTTTTTGGAGTGTCCTCGTAAATTCTCTGTTTTGGAAGGCTTGAAAAATGAGGGCATATCAGGTGCAAATTTATCACTAAGCAATTTGAAAACTGTAATCAAGTCGCCTCTAGTTCTACGATATGACAAACGGAATAGGTTTAGCTTGGCCAGTCGAGCATCATACGGAAGCTTCGCTATTCCGGGAATCAGCTTAGTTGCTGTTCTCTGGACCTTTTCCAAAAGCTCACTGTCTTCTTTTAAGCAGGGGCTAGCCGAACACTGTATACAAAGTCAAAAACGTTTGAGCGTCGACATGAGTAAAAGCCCCTACGTATTGATCGTTCGTATCCTTCTAGTGCCTCACGTCTCTCTGACGACTATTATATTCATAGTGTCAATCGAAAATCAAATGTGTCCTCATAAGTCTCTACTCTAATGTACAATATATATATTATTATTAGACTAGTCAAGACAGTTTATGAGTCAATGATAACGATGAAATGAATCACACAACTAAACATTATAAGTAAAATGTCCAAATTGATAATGTGATTATAGATGTATTAGTTGTGATGAAAGTAATAAAGGCTCGAATCAATGTCATAACAGGAAGTAGTAGACCAAAGACTTGGAAAAATAGACATTGAAGTGAAATTCATTAAAAACCAACAAGATGACCTAATAAGAAGCGTTCAAACAATTAGACCGAAGAATACATTCAAATAAGTGATGAAAAAGAACAAACTCGGAAAGGGTATGGAAAATAATAAGTGAAATCATTTATTAAGCCTAATTGGGCCAAAGAAGAGATAAGGGTGTTACAAATTTCTTATGAATATCGAGACGAGTCGTTGGTTCGAATCACTATAGTAATTGTTACCTGTAAGAGACGTGGTTGAATCCCATAAAGAGAAGTGGTAAGTGTACGACAAATTACTCTGGATGGTTTAGTTCTATCTATTACATGACCACTGTTGACCAGGAGTGGTAGAACAGATTACTGGTTGTTTCGATCATACTCTTTCGCAATCATGAACGTAACTGTTCTCTAACTCGTTAACTAATTTGTTTGGCTATACAGTCGATGTAACTTTCTCATTAAGAGCAACTGAATTCGTAGATTTAAATGGATTTGGCAAGACCAGGTAGCTTATCCTTTAGTTGAACAACCACTGTAGGTTGGCTAGGAAACAATAAACAGAGGTTAACTGTACTAGATATCCTCTTCACTGCTTTAGTCAGTCTATTCCGTAGCACATCACTAACTATATGTCCATTGACTTTTAGCCTCAGAAAGGGATATTTCTCACCAACCGTTGACATCACCATCTTCCTGTTCTCTATTGCTGCTACCTTGACGTGGTGGTCGGGTTCGCCTTTCATGATATACCAGTCGTGCCGGAACAATCATCCCTCAATATCCTAACTTGTCAGGCAGGTCGGTTTAAGACCGGTAAAATTAAAAGCACCAAATCCAAGGTCCTAGGGTGAAGTTGTGCTGTTTACTGTAGAAATATGATGGTAAGCGGGTGTTTTCCTCAGATAATCAGTACAGCAGTGATGCTAGAGATAGGTCGACTCTTTAAGTATGCACCTCGCCTCATCTCAATAAGTACGGTGCTAACACAAAAGCTACCCATAAGAGGTCATGCTTTCCCTGCCTCAAGCAGTTTTCCCTTGGGTACTGCGTTCACTTTGTCGGGTCACTAAGGCCAACTCTAACCTAATTTCCTTTTCAGGTACCTCTAGAATAATCCTTCCACGGTGTGGGCAACCGGGAAATGAAAACCACCCTCAGACCTCTAACCACACTCAAGAGCACCGTATTTGATTTCTTCGAAAATTTTCGCGGGTAACTGATATCAGTCGATATATTGCGAATGAACTGTAGTTACTTATTTATGATCTTTATCTAGCATATATTGATGGCTCTACTTGCAAGATGTCTTACTAGGTTTCTCTTGTAACAAATGGGTACAAAGCTCAAGATATGTGTGCGACTGGTTTATTTTGTTGGTTTATCACATGGAGGACGCTAATCGCACACAAATAAGATATATAGAAAGTATCCATCTGTTCAGATCTGGTTGCGTCCCACTTGTATGTCTATAAACAAAAGCCATTCTAGACCATTATATTTACCGGTAGCCGCCATAACATGAAGTTCCCATAGTTTATAACATTTCACACTTTGTTCAATCCAATATTTAGGAAAATTGATTTAAACCATCATCTAGTTTAAAAATGAAAAGTTTAGTTCAATATCTTCCTGTTTGTGTGTTCGTCCACTTGCTGATAATATCTGATCGTGAACAAGTGGATCTTAAGTATTATTAGGTAGGAGGATGGAGAGTTTTGGATGTGTCAATTCCGTACTCCAAAAGGTTTTACTACTGAAGACGGAAATTTATGGAGTAGGTAATGTATGATATTTTTAGGACGGATCTTTTCTAACCTTCATTTGTAAAAAGACAACATCTATGTAGATGCTTGTTATCTTAAAGAAGCACTATTGCGGTCGTACCTTAGCACAGTAGGCAATACGACTTCGCCCTCGGGTCTTTAGTTCCTAATTTTAATCCTAACCTTTTTCCAGCCGACCTGCCTGACATGGTTGGACCTAAAGAGCCAAGTGTCCCAGCCGATACATCTCGATTGGGTCATTATGATAGGCAAGCCCAACTGCCAAGGAAAGTTAGTAGTAGCTTTTGATATGACTGATTGACTGAAAAAAACTTGCGAATGGAACGGTCCGTTACCATATACATTGGTTCTACGCACATGATTTCTAATGTTTTTGTACAGTGTTTTCTATTTAAAGCTCTATTGCTTGAAGTTTTATATTTTGGATAAACTTCATATTTAGTGGTTTAACATTTTTAATTTATCTTGAGAAATCTACTGACCATATAATTGGATATCTATTGGTTTAAGGCAATTCCATTTAAATTCTTAAGTTATCCACATGGTAGATTTAAATGTACTAAACGGTGAGCCTCTCTCTTCTTTTAGAGTCGCCGAAGCTTTTCCTATGCATTCGGAAAAAACTTAAGACGATGTATATTAAAGGAACTTATTAAACATCTACTTTGGTCTTAATCTTTCGTAAACCCTATTAACTTCCAGATATTCACACTACGTCAGGCCATAGAACATAGACACACATTCAGACGCCTCACAATCGTATTATTTCTCGACCTTAAGGTGGCATTTGACTCTATCGATCGTGAGGTTCTATGGCAGTGTTTGTCACTGAAAGGAGTACCAAAGAAGTACATTAACCTTGTACAGGCTCGCTACTCGAACACAACTGATCGAGTGAGAACTTATGGCGAACTGTCATAAGAATTGATTTTCTCAAGTGGTGTTCGTCAGGGCTGTCCGCTCTCTCCATTCTTGTTTAACTTTGTCATTGACGTGCTTTTGGAGATGACACTGTCCTCATCTAAATTTAAAGGGGTTGAACTTCTACCTGGAGATTCACTTGTTGAGTTAGAATATGGCGATGACATAGTTCTATTTGGTGAAGACGCTGACAAAATTGTTTTTTCTTGTCAAAATGACACGAAATATTAACATAAAAATAATCAAAATCGAAAGTTTGCTTAATCATATGTATTCATAAAACGTGTGCTTTGTCTATCAAAGCCTAATTTCTGAACTACATTAACTAATTACTGATTTGCCATGCTCTTGTTCTGACATCTGACCATGACTGCTTGGTGTTCGTATTTGTACTATAAGCATACTATTTCTTTTTTAACATAAAATATCAATTCTTCAGGTCATCTGACATGCCTTTTGATCTAAAATTATTCGGCACATTAAGTCAACAATTCAATCTCATGAACAGATGACAAAGTTCTATTTGGTGAAGACGCTGACAAAATGCAGAGTCTTCTGACCAATCTAAGCAACAATGCTAGCATGTTCGACATGCGATTCTCCCCCCGCCCCCAGATGCAAAATGTTACTTCAGGATTGGGTTGCATCGACACCCGAACTAATGATAGGGAGTGAAGTGATTGAGCGTGTCGACCGCTTCACTTATCTTGGAAGTCTCATCAGTCCTTGTGGTTTGGTGTGTGACGGAGTCTCAGCACGGATACAGAAGGCTCGACTAGCTTTTGCCAACTTGCGTCATTTGTGGCGTAGGCGAGATATCCGTCTATCAACCAAAGGACGTGTTTACTGCGCAGCAGTTCGTTCCGTCCTACTTTATAGCAACGAAACATGGCCGATAAGAGTAGAGGATATTCGTAAGTTACTAGTATTTGATCATAGGTTTCTTTGAAACATTGCTCGTATATCCTGGGACCATCGAGTAAGTAACGCAGTTGTTAGGGAACGGGTACTAGGTAAGGATGGCAAATCAATTGGTGAAGTAGTGAAACTTGATCAGTTGAGATCACTGGGACACGTGTTACGTATGCCCAACTACCGACTGCCCCGACGTGCGATGTTTGATGTTGTAGGAGTAGGTTGGAAGAAAGCTAGGGGCGGCTAGACCAAAACATGGCACAAATCCATGAAGTCACTGACAAGTGGATTGAGTCATGTTGGTAGGTGTAGAGTACCTGGTTGAGGACCGCGAGATGATAGCAACCGATGGTTAGAGATCCTGAATGAAATGTCTCAAAGTCGTTTGCAACGGCGCAGGTGCATCCACACTTTGTGTTCTCCTAGATCCTAATCTTCTGAATTTATCATGTCCCTTTCTTTTTTCTCTTTCCAAATTTATTTCACTGTATTATACTCCTTGAATAACATCTTCAACCCTAATCTTTCCGATTACTGCTCATATTATTACTACCTCCACCACTACGAGATTTGAATCGACCATTGTATCTCTGTGCTAATGTGGTATGGCAACTCGAACTGATGTACGTACGTACGAAGTTCCACGTTGTTACTGACTGACTTCCCCTTTCTCTTTCTCTATTAACTTTTTACCTACTACCGATTTGTTTCTGTCCGCATGGTCCTTCCGAGTATGTTTCACCTCAACATAAATATTATATCTTATCACTACTCAATCAGTTTTTACTAGTACTAATTTTCATCTCTGTTGTTGAATATTCAGATTGTCAATAACTAGGTTCTTATTTTCTTAAAAAAATGACATTTTTGTGCTATTTTTATTTTACCTCTCTATTATTATGCTTAAAATGTTATTGTCGTTATTATTACTGTAACAGACGTATTAGTGCTTATCGTTTTGGAAAAATGTTATATATTTGTAGATGTACAGCCCTGAAAACGAAGTCGCCAAAAGAGAACTCTGTTTATTCAATCTTTCTTGATTTATATCTCAATGGGGGGTACTCTGTTAATTTTGAACTTCGCTAATTAACTCTTTGTATTTTAGGTAGATTAACTAGGATTTAGTTGCAACGTTGTAAATGTTTTCATTCCAAATTTCTCTATAAATCTTTAGTTTTGATATTTATGCTTTTATTAGCTTCTTTGATTGATTGTTTTCGACATATGCTTATTTTTCACTACCATTCATATCATTATTTGTATTTACTCGTTTTTCATATCGTTCGTTTCCTAGCACTATGCTGATGTATTATTACAACTTTAGACAGCGTTATGTTCTAGGCTGTTTACAACTGGGCTAAAATAAATAGTTACCGTTTGTCTAATTCTCATGCAACCCATCTGGGAAGTATTGGTTTATATTCCTGACTAAGTCACTTTATGTAGTAGTTATACTCCCCTGGTACCCAGACCGTAGTAGATGATGCAGAAATTAAAATTGTAGCCTACTGTTTGAAAGCCGTATCATCTATTTAGTAAGCCACTACTTCACTTGATTATACACTGATATGGAGATTGGTGCCATCTAACGATAAATTTCATCAGAAAGACTCACAAACCATTTTTGTTCATTATAATTAATCGAATTTCAACTATTTATATTTGTTGTATTTCAAGGTATGTTACCACCAAATGACTTATTACAACTGACGGATGAGGATGTAACAACATTAAGAAAGTGCAGACAAATCTCATTTTGGAGAGGCAGTCTCCCATTCTCCATTGGCGCTCTTTTAGCTGTTAGTGCTGCTGATAAATATGGATGGTTTTCAAAACGTAAGATGTTTCGATTACCATCTTACTTTTTTGGAGTTACCATTGGTTATTTCGTCGGGCAATTCAGTTGCGCAGGAGAATGTAGACGTATGTTTCTCCAGCTTAACAATAGTCGAATCAAAGATCAGATTCTTAGAATGGAAACTCCCGGAACATTTCAACCTACTCCTGGTTCACCTTTAATTGTAAATACACCTGTAGAAAAACATCCACCCATGAATTATGAGCAGCGTAGACAGTTTTATAATAGGCAACTTGAACAATCTACATCTCCGTACCCCAGTTCCAAACCACCGACAACGATTGAAGAACAGGATACAACATCCGATAAAACAAACTCAAGTCTGTCGTACTTTGATAACGATAGACCAATTAGTTCATTTTATTATGATAATGATGTCTATCGACCTCAAGAGGATTAATTTGGTAACATAAAAAGAAATATGTATTTTGTCAAACATACGAATAGTAATATATTTAGTTGCTTCTGTTTAATTCCTTTTAGATTTTACTTCACATTCAGAGATATTTTTTGACTAGTAGCATATATACAGATAATAATTAATTTATCTATTCATTCGTCCACTCAATTATCCCTGTTCAGCACAGATTTCATAACTGATTGTAAATACACGTTTTGTGCGGAGTTTGTTTGTTTATATGATAAAACCGAAGGATCTGTACCGATTTTTGTTTCTAGGAGATGGTACTCTTACTGAAACTTATTTGTTAAGTTTTTGTTTGAGAATTAATAATAGGACCTGAAAAGTTGTACCTTGACGTTTTCAGTAGGTTTATTAATGAATTTAAATTTTACCTTATCGTTACGTGGCAACAGTCCATGAAGACACTGACTATTGGGCTGAGCCGTGTAAGTGGGTGTAGACTACTTGGTTGAGGTCTGCGGGATTATCGTAGCCAATGGTTATAGACTTTGGATGACGGCTGAAAATCATGCTCAGTAACGCAAGTATATTCATATTCCTAAGTTAACTAATACACCTTGTTTATTCCAATAATCTTTATTTTCTGTTAGAGTCGATGCATAATATTTTCTCTTGCCAGTGATACTGTTACTACTTCCACTGCCCTAGGATTTACCGTGAAAGTTCTATCTTTCGGTGCTTATGCTGTGTGGTAATTTGAACCGATGTATACTTATGCCAGGTTTCACGTTACGTATGACTGACTGACTAACTCGTAACTCTGGTAGAGCCTAAAGAAATAATTATTTAGTATCTAAAATCTTTTCAATGCTCTATAAAGGACATGTGATATTGTTCATTCAGGCATCTTCACTTACGTACTGTTAGCGGGACATGGATTGGATTAAACCATGTTCCGTGCTCGATAGTGTTGGTGTACGCTGTTTGGCTAATTCTTATCCAATCAGCGCTAGTCGATACTTGTAGAAGACTCTAGAATCTTCTCATGTAAAAACTATAAATATACTAACGTTTTTCTTATTGTACTTCTTACTTCCATCTACCCTTGTTATTTGGAATATAATTTCTTTCCTGTTCAACCGCGTTTTGATTTGGGGACTTGTTATGTGAATTATTTCTGGGTTGGAGAATGCTGGTCGGCGGCCTATGCTCCATTGGGAGTAACAGGCTTAAGTAAGTATGTGAATTATTGTCCTAGACTACTAAGCAATAGGAATAGCTGGGTCGTAATAAGAGAGAATTATAACACGTACCAAGTATCAAATGATTTAAAGATAACACAAACAGTTTTATGTGCACAAACTACAGATAATTTAAAGATGAGATATAAGAAATGGTCTCTTTTTTTATTAGCGAAACTCATAACAATTTTTATAAATATACCGAACGGTTATCATTCAGCTACTGGTTTCAGACTCTGGTATATATTGATACAAACAGCTTGAATTATTGATTCATATTTGGTTATGACTTATTAAGAAAAGTATTTGTAGGTAGTTAAATAACATTTGGTCATGAGTTCAAGTTAAAATGACAACTTTAATTAGTACTATTTCCTTAAGTTTTAATTATCAGTTTCCAATTGTATTGTAGAATATAACTTTCCCCGAGATGTTACTATTAAATATCAGGTTTACAAGTAGTTCTTTAAATCTTGACCAGTCAAAACATGTACATTGTTGAAATAAAATGTAGTGTGTAAGCTTCATTTGCTTTACTTAGTGATGTAACAAGAACGAAGTGTTATTTGACAAAATAAGTTTGTTAGGATTTACAATTATGTGGGTAATATTAACATCATGACGATGAGATATTGACTATTATTATTATTATTATTATTATTATTATTATTATTATCATTATCATTATTATTATCATTATTATTATTATTGTTATTATTATTGTTATCATTATTATTATTATTATTATTCTCTTTGGCTTGGTGATATCACTTTATCGTGCAGATGGATTTCATTTGTGCTGATTAAAACAAAGAGAAGCTAATCGATAGTAAAAATTTTATTGCTTTCGAAGTGCTAAATTATCGGATATAGTTCTCATACTTTCTAACGATAGTAAATTTAGCTTATATCATGGATTGACCTCGGCTAAAGAGCCACTGATATCCAGGAAACCTGAACAACTGTTTCGTACTGGTATAGGGCTCTTCACCAATACACACCCACAAATTCCCAAGGAATCGAACCCAGGGCTTTCAGGCCCTCCTACTAAGTTGGGACAGTAACTGACTAACGATGTTAATTGAACATCACACTATTACTATATTAGTTTGCGATAACAACTTTCACAAATATTGCATAATGTTTCCATATTTCCAAATCTTACATTGAATATAGATCTACAATAAATTCTCTAACCTTTTTAGGCTCATTTTTAGCTAGAAAGAATCTTTTTTGGTGTAAAGCATAGGCATAGTTCAAATATAGTATGTCTTGTTTTCTGGAGTATATGTATAGCTTCTAATCTGAAGATAGGTTTTTATGAGTTTATTTTCAGCCTTTATTAATTGTCTTCATTAAATCTTCGACAAGTGATTATACTTTACCCTGAGTGATAGCTTAGAAATAACTAATGTTGTGTTTTATGATTGCTAGTACTGACTGAATATTAACCATCAAGTTGTATAGTATGATTGTTAGTTTAATATTTTGTAGGTTATGGCCGAATAATCCTCTAATTTTGACTTGACATAAATATCTCTCATTTTCTATACAAGTTATAACAATTCCATTTTATGCTGTGGATATCTTTATATTAATGAAGAAAAACCACCAGTAAAGTGAACAAATTACAAACGCTGTCAGTATTACCATAAAGTTTATTCCTAATATACATTTAAGTGCGTTGCGATTGTTCATTTACCTGATCTTAATTTCTATCTTTTCACTTGTTCTAGTCCTTCACAACTTTTGAAATGTTTATTTTTATTTTTACATCTAACTATTTCTTGTTTGAGTAAAGGTTCAATTGACTGACTCTGTTGGTTTCTTCATTGTTGTTTGTAATCTGAGTCATGTAATGAACTGAGATTTGTAAGAGTGACTGTACCGTAAGCGAATTGTTTTACTAACCGTTAGTTGGAAGTCATTTATAAATTACTCAACTGAATGGCTTATTTAATATCATGGACAGTAATATCACGTTTTCAGACTATTTCCGACTCTTCATGATAGTGAAATGGTGGATAAGGACTTAATTAATTGGAAAACAAGTGCTGTTACTAAAATTTTAAGTTCTCAGTCAAATATTTAATCATTTGTTTATCCATGAAACAAGATTTTTCTCTAATTGAGTACCATTTTCTGTATTGTCAAGTTTTAATGTAGTGATTAGAAGTAGTATATTTGTATTATCCTCTAAATCGTATTAAGAAAGATTAAGATTTTTTATGGAAGGATAAGAATATACCACATATGCAACATATTTATACACTAACATCACAAATATCACATTTTGCCTTTAGATAAATAAAACCCAATTCAACATCTAGTATATTTGATTTGTTCCATAGTATTGATTGATGGTGATACTTTGTTAATATGTTAAATTTTGTGGTTTAGTGAGTGGATCTTTGACTGTTAACTCGAAAAAAGGGATGGTAGTCAATAAGTAATAATATATGGTGATAAGAAGTGTGACCGAGTGATATCCGTTCAGTCAGTCAGTAACAACGTGGAACTTCGTACGTACGTACATCAGTTCGAGTTGCCATACCACATTAGCACAGAGATACAATGGTCGATTCAAATCCCGTAGTGGTGGAGGTAGTAATAATATGAGCAGTAATCGGAAAGATTAGGGTTGAAGATGTTATTCAAGGAGTATAATACAGTGAAATAAATTTGGAAAGAGAAAAAAGAAAGGGACATGATAAATTCAGAAGATTAGGATCTAGGAGAACACAAAGTGTGGATGCACCTGCGCCGTTGCAAACGACTTTGAGACATTTCATTCAGGATCTCTAACCATCGGTTGCTATCATCTCGCGGTCCTCAACCAGGTACTCTACACCTACCAACATGACTCAATCCACTTGTCAGTGACTTCATGGATTTGTGCCATGTTTTGGTCTAGCCGCCCCTAGCTTTCTTCCAACCTACTCCTACAACATCAAACATCGCACGTCGGGGCAGTCGGTAGTTGGGCATACGTAACACGTGTCCCAGTGATCTCAACTGATCAAGTTTCACTACTTCACCAATTGATTTGCCATCCTTACCTAGTACCCGTTCCCTAACAACTGCGTTACTTACTCGATGGTCCCAGGATATACGAGCAATGTTTCAAAGAAACCTATGATCAAATACTAGTAACTTACGAATATCCTCTACTCTTATCGGCCATGTTTCGTTGCTATAAAGTAGGACGGAACGAACTGCTGCGCAGTAAACACGTCCTTTGGTTGATAGACGGATATCTCGCCTACGCCACAAATGACGCAAGTTGGCAAAAGCTAGTCGAGCCTTCTGTATCCGTGCTGAGACTCCGTCACACACCAAACCACAAGGACTGATGAGACTTCCAAGATAAGTGAAGCGGTCGACACGCTCAATCACTTCACTCCCTATCATTAGTTCGGGTGTCGATGCAACCCAATCCTGAAGTAACATTTTGCATCTGGGGGCGGGGGGAGAATCGCATGTCGAACATGCTAGCATTGTTGCTTAGATTGGTCAGAAGACTCTGCATTTTGTCAGCGTCTTCACCAAATAGAACTTTGTCATCTGTTCATGAGATTGAATTGTTGACTTAATGTGCCGAATAATTTTAGATCAAAAGGCATGTCAGATGACCTGAAGAATTGATATTTTATGTTAAAAAAGAAATAGTATGCTTATAGTACAAATACGAACACCAAGCAGTCATGGTCAGATGTCAGAACAAGAGCATGGCAAATCAGTAATTAGTTAATGTAGTTCAGAAATTAGGCTTTGATAGACAAAGCGTACGTTTTG